ACCTTACCATTTTTTACAGCTTTTTTCCACACCCTCAACAATTTAAAGAGTTGTGGCCTTCATCCCAAAAATTTCTGGGAGATGAAGTCCACACTGCTTAAAGTTGCTGAGGTTGAGAAACACTGCTGTAAAGGCTGATACGTTTCCCTGATATGGAAGAATCATATCCTTAAAACTTTCGTTTGCTGTTATATAAAGCAACACTTTGGGGCATGTGCTAGATGGCTTTCCCTGAGAAACAGCAACCTCTTGTCAGCCTTTTAGAAGAAAACAGCAGCAAACCCCACCCAGGCTTCCATCTGCTCCCATTCCTGTCTCCATGTCTGAGCACAAGATACATTGGCATTTCCCCTTTACTTCTGGAAGTATAAATGAGGCAACAGTTACTCAACCTGTTGCCTGCATGGGACTCAACCTCCTATAATGCCCCAACAAGCAGGTGAAGGAGGTTATTGACAGCTGTCAAATTGAGAGGGTCTAGCTCTTAAATGGGATGTTGCACAGGCCACCCTTACCTGTGCAACATCCCATGAATACCCATGGGATGTATTCATACAACACTTTTCACCAGGTCAGGTAGAGACTTAGAAAATGCATTCTCAGAGCATTCTAAGCTTGCTTGCTGTTAATCTGAGCTACTTTTATTTATAGCTTAGCATCTTATGGAAGCCCAGTCAATGTATTAAGTTATGATTCCATATATTATGAAAACTCATAAAATTGATGAATTCAGTTACCAGTTTATGCATGTTGGGTAAATAGAACTATAATATTCATTATGTGCAGACATTTGATGTGCACGATTTTTATTCTTTCAATAGGAGCCATAGAGTGAGTGGAGAGAAGGAAGATCAAGACTAGGGATGTTCATATAAGCTTTTTGGAGGTCATATGTAGCCCTGAGGCTTCAGGTTGTGCTCCTCTCCCCTAGACAATCTCCATGATTCAGCAGCACACCAAATATTATCACTTTGCAGCCTAGCAGGAATTACCCCTCCCGTGATCTTTAAAGAACTCAGATGTAATTAAAAATCTATGCCATTCCAGCAAAAAGGGGTGCATTAAGGCAGCCAGTTTCACTTTCAATCTTCTCTTAGCCACTTGCCTGTTTGAATTCCTTTTGCCTGAGCAAAGAATGCTCTCTTCAAATCGACAAGGGCTTAAAAAGCTGCTATGCATTCAAGGTCGAATCTCACAGAATGAGAAGTAATTGGCTTCTCTGAGAGGACAGGTCATTTGATTCTGGAAAGTGGTGACATCCCAAAGAGAATGATTCAAGCTGATGTATTTAGACTACAAATCTAGTGCACACAGGTGGAACAGCCTCCTTTACAGTATGGCAGATTTGTCCAGGATGCAAAAGATGATGAATTGTAAATCCTTCATTTTTTTTTTGTAAATTGTAAAGCCTTCAGATTTATGGAGGGTTGCTACTCCTTGAGGTAAGCATGGAATACTTCTGGCCCACAAGGACTCTCCATCTGATCCATGAGACCTCCCATGTAACTCCTCACCTGGGACCTGGGACTCTAAACCATTTCCCCAAGTCTTCCCTCTTATTTCATTTCCACACCAATTGTGCAAATGTCTTTAAGCACTCCTTTCCTGGGTCTTTAATCCCATCTCACCTTTGCTATTGAGCTGGGACCACCCCTCACTACTGGCATGCAGCCTCCAACACATATGCCTGGGAAAATGTGGGGCAAGAGAGATCATCCAGTCCTGTGTTAATCTGTGCAATTAACTGGCAGAAATTGCTGTACTGATCACCAGGATAATATATTTTTAAAAAATTATTAGATATTGTGAGATAAGGAGTATATCAGTGGATATTGAGCCTGACAACAGGCTCACACCCACATTACAGATCTTTAAGCCCCTCTCTTCTACATAAATCAAAACCAGAATCATGGTACTGAGGAGAGACTATACTTCAAGAACATTTATTCATATGAAGAGTCTTACTGGATCTGTTCCAAAGTTCTGCTAGTTCAAAATCTGACATTGCTCCATGGTGGATAAACAGAAATTACTGGGAGAGCAACAAATGGCCCTCACATGCTTATCTTCTGCAGCTGTAATGGATGGCACGAGTGGGGAAGATTCTGGAAAGGAAGTTCAAGGTTGTCAGGAGGGGGGAGAGGCATTCCAGAGCAAGCGCCTCCTCAGCCCGTAACAAGAAGAGTGTGGGAAGACGAAGAGGATGAGCCTGGCCCCTCCCTAGAGTCTCAAGGGGTATATCCACTTGTTGCTTTAGTCTGGTGAGATTCTGTCTATTAGGTGCAAGCTAATAAAGGAACTGAACTGTACTGGATTGCCTTCTTGTTGTTCTTGGGCTGAACCTGACCTACAACCTTCCAGATGTGTAATTCCCAGCCAGCTTTTGGCCATACTGGCCAGAGTGTATGGGAGTTTAATTTCAATACATATTTTGTAAGAGTAGCATTCATTTCATTGTTTTTCTCTCTGTGGCACTGGCTGCTCATGCTCTAAGCAATATTGGATTTTTATTGGGGGGTTACTACTACAGAAATCACAGAATCATCAAACATCAGGTTTGGAGAGGACTTTGAAGATCATCCAGTCCAACTTCTTACCCAGTGCAGGAAATCACTACTATAGCATTCCTACAGATGACTATCCAGCCTGTTTAGACATCTAGTGATGGATCCATGTCCATACATCATTCTTCCAAAATCTGAAAGGTTGATTAACTATTTTTCATTACTGAGAACATCATCGAGGTAGGCATTAACTATCTGAACATCTCATTAATGAAATTATTGATCTCAACTTCCTTTTGTCCCCATTGTGTAAGATCATACTGAATGCTCTGGCAGCATCCACATAGTACATTTAATCTGGTTATTGGAATAATCTTTTTCTCGTTTTGCCCAACATATAGCTAATCAAACAGGCTAGGTTCTGTGTAGCTATGTACAAACCAGCTGATCTTGAGTTGCCATCAGAGATTAATCGTTTGGAATGTTGAAAATATCAGATTATTGGCTTTCATGCTGTATTTTCAGTTTTGTCCCATTCTTGAGTTGAAATGGTCAAGAGTACTATATGATGAATACATCAAATGGAAGAAGTATTTAAACCAGATTGAAACCTCTCTCAAACAAGGTTTCTTAGAATCCTATTTACTCATGAAGTTAAGAGCCCTTTGTATTAGAGATCACTTTTAAAATGCTACTTTTGTAGGTACAGCATCACACAAACAGGCTTGGAACTGGTATTAAAAGCTAGA